TTTCAGGCACTTTTTCATTCATACCTGATTGAATCTCTCACATGTTTTGTCAGTTTTTGCATCTGCTTAACAAAATCCAGCAAAATAACTCACCCAGACTGCATCAGCATGGTTCAATTCATGGTTCAGACATGATTTCTCCAACACAGTAAATATGTCCATGGAGCAGTTGTTAGGCTGGCATGAAGTTTAGGAGGACAGCCTGCTCCTAAACCTGTCCACCTTCTGTCCATGTGCTGACTTGCAGACAGCCTATGAACTGCCAGTATGGGCACTGTGAAAGCTGCATCTGAGAGTGGAGGGGGAGACAAATTGTTTAAATGAACCATTAGAGACAGTTCCTTCAAGATGGGATTGTGGTGCATTGACGGGGTGGTGGCAAGGAAACATATGTTAAGTGTTACTGTTCTGGTCTGTGGTTAGTGTGGTTGTCATCAAGTTCTGTTTTATCTTAAGTTTTCTGAGATGCCAAGAAGCAATAATATCCAACTTCTTTGCTGTCACTGGTTTCACACCCACACCAACTTCACTGCCACCCTAAAACATCAGAGTCTCAATTAAAATATGTTTCTGTAAGAGCTCAGTGATTAAAAAAAAAGTATCTTCCCTAAAAATGAGATGTCATAGCTTGTTTCTAGCATTAAGTGAAGTTTTCAATTTGATTGGTACGTAAGCATAGGAAGAAAACAAAATTCAGGTTCAATCTTATGTGAATACTTCATTATTCAAAGCTGTTGCAGTCTGGAAAGATAAGCACAGAGAGTGCGGGTAATGAAAACAAATTTTATAAATATCATTGCAGTTGAAACATATTGTCATCACAATCTCGTTGATTCAGTATGTGTTCAAACTGGGGCAAACTCGTTGCTGACTTACATTTGGAGTTTTGAGGTTTGCAGATGGTGTGAATCAGAGACTGCAACCAGTATTTTTACAGACCTTTAGTTTTATTAGGTGGAAAACAACCACAAGTACACTTCTAGTACACTTCTATGAACAGGAAAAAGCATAGCTAGGGCAGTGGCAGAACAAACTTCCTGCAATAATTTGCAATGTGGATTCACAGGGAAAAGTCCTCAAGGCAGAAGGTAGTGCAATATCCATTGTCCATTCAACCCCAGCCTGTTTCTGCAGTAATTTTAAAAATTATTGCTAAACATGATGCACTTTTTTTCCCTCTGATATAGCTTTGCAAGCAAACAGATAACTTGGTGGTTTAGGTTTTTTTCCTTTGAGTTTCTAAATAAATATCAGATGGTCCTTATTCTCTGTCTATGAAGCCAATGTATAACATTAATGTTTACTAATAGAAATAAATTTCTCCTCTGTGTAAGATCAGTCCCTGGTACATGCTTCCAAAATGCTGAGTGCTTAGCTATTTGTTCAGCTTTATGACTAGAGGTTGGTCATTTTTCTTTGGAACAGTCTGCTTATAGTGTGGCCTTTCGAGAGATGGGGTTGCTGATGTCCCTGTGTGTATATATTTTGTAGTCTTAATTGTCACCCTGGATCAAATTAGATTGGATAACTGAAAAGATATTGAACACTTTATGAAATACATTCATTTACAAAGGTGAAATCATGACAATTCGTGTGGTGAAGTGCCCTGACTGGGATCTATTACACTGTTTGCCTGGAAATGAACTGCTCTGTCAAGATGCTGGTAAGTGTGGCGGTTTCTGAGGTGAAACAGCCCCTGAGCATATCCAGCTGCTGTCCCAGAGCATTCAGCAGCTCTGGGCAGTTGATGTGTGAGAAGCAGTAGCTGTACTGCATCCAGCTAAAATGTCAACAGGCAGCAGCTCGTTTCTCTAGCCTGTGGTCAGAACAGTGCACCTCCCGTGAAAGCATTGTGAAACACTTAGTGGAGGCAAGTAGTTTGTTATTTTTGGATGGAAAAATGGCACCTCCAGCCACACAATGTCCTAGGGCATTGAACTGCTACAGAAGATGAGTGATAATTGAAAGAGGAAGATGTTTCCTAATTAATTATGTAAACCCCACAGCAGTACAGCCCAGCCCAGCCGTATTTTCAGTAATGCGATATATATAATTTGTTGCCCAGTTACCAAATATGTTGTGAGCAACCAAAAATCATAAGAAGCTACAGCTCTGTTTCCGTTGTTTCTCAGTTGTGGTTTTAGAATTAGGACACCCAACACTGTGAGATTTAAACCAAAACAAAACAACACAAAACCAAAAACCCAACCAACCAACCAAAAAACCGGGAGAAAACGTGCCCCCAAAACACTTTGGGAGTTTATATTCCCTCTAATAGTGAGCCTGCTTTATGTTACACTTTCAAACTTTTCACTCTAACTGAGAAATAAGAAATAGGAATGTGTTTGTTCATAATTTAAAATAATGTCATTGCTAAATTTCCATTTCTGGAAATTTAACAACTTAAGACCTATTATGGAACTTCTTTGAAGTAGAATGATAAGAACCGAGGAGAATCTTTTTTTGTCAGCTACTTTCCAGAGAGACACCAAAACTTTTATTGAAGAAACTTTCTTCAAATCATATGTGCTTGATACCAGACCTCAGCCTCTCTTGGGTGTAACAGGACTGTCTCTTAACATTGTCATAATTTGCAGACATCTCAAAAGGTTCTGGGATTATTGTATTTACACTTACTGGTTACCATGAAAGCAATGTGATTAATACCTATCAGATCTGTGTCAAGGCACTTAGATATATGCAAGCATAACATAAATTAAGTGCCAGCAAATAAAGAGTAGGATTTGGGCTAGAGAGTTGGGAATGTTGGTAAAATAAATAAATAAACAGAGAAAGAAAAAAATAGGAAATCTAAATGTGTAGTATATTTGGGGCTAACCTCTTTTCCAAACTGTCATTTAGGATTTCTTCAAGACTTGCCTGCATTAGTTAAAGCTAGCTCAACAGAGCCCTGCCTTAACAGCTTTGTCTTTCAGAGCAGCCAAGTGAGGCTTTCCTGAACTTCTTGGAAGGAGTCTATCTTGTGATTTCAGTATTCAGGTTCCCCATAATGCTGTCTCAGACAGTCTTTCCTCACAGCATGAGTTGGATCTTGTACTGGCTGACATTTCATGATAAACTCCTGGCTGCTCTTACTGACTACCAGAAAGAAGACTCATCGCTACATTTACAGTGGAAAAAAACCTGTAACCACTGTACATTAATAAAAATAGCTGCCACTCAAAGCTCATAACAGTTTTCTTTCTTAAAGTTACATCTGTAAGTACCAGTGCAGTGAGGTAAAGAGAATTTAAGGGCATCCTAAAGTAAATCAGTGGTATAGCTATGAGAGACAGCTGTCTTACCTGTTACAGGGCCATCCTTCCCCCTTTCTGTCAGTGCTGTCAGTGCTGATATTGATATCCAGTTACAAAGAGGTACCCAATTACATGTGTGTCTGACTTGCATGGTTCTAACCCTCTTAGCAGTTGGTCCAGCTTAAAAATGTGAAGACCTGTTCAAGAAGTATTAATATAGAGGTGTCGTGAGCCTTATCCTTCACAAATGCACTCCAAGCCTCTAACAGTTTCTGTTATTTGCTCTTTTACCATTGCAGATCTAATTCCTAACTTGTAGAGCTACTGCATCCATGGGGAGAAATGTTTCACTTATAATCATGTTTTATAGTTCCCTTTGTGGTTTATTCTGCCACTTTGACTTGTCATAGTTGAATAAATTGAATTCTGTAGAGTGCTCTTGTAAATGCCACACTTTTGATTTTTAAATGTGCTTCAGTGTGATGAATGCAGCATTAGAGTGGGATGTGGAGTAGTGCTTAAATTTGTGGGTTGTAGCTTCTAGGTTTTATTCTCAAGCCTCTAGCCAGATTGTTATATAATTCATGGATAGGCCATTTTTAGGATCTCTGCTCCTTCATTCCATATCTGTAAAATGAATGTGTTTTACCTATGCAGCAGGTCTGTGTTGACACCCAGTTGGTTCTTTTTTGAACAGTTAGGCCCAGGCTGCTATAGCATGTTGTAGGATGGCTGTTGCACTCATATACTGATTACCCAACTGCTACCTTATACTTACATCATTTTTTTTATTGAGCACAGAGACTTTGGGTTGTAAATTATCTAAAAAGGAATCATTGTTTTAACATCTGTTTATGTGGTACCTGTCATAGTGAGCTTTCCTTCCTCGGGTGAAGCAAGAAAGAAGCAGAAGAAAAGGTATCACTAGAATACAAACATAAAGTTAAGAATGTGATTTGAGATCTGTGAATGGAATATGATGAGGATTACTACAGCTGTTTTCTTTCCAAGAAAACACTTTCAAATATTGTTATTTTTATAGGCACTTTTATCTGCCCTGCTTTAAAAGGACCAGTAATTGCAAGTGTGTCTTAATCCATCTGTTAATGGAGGAAACTGAAGGACTTGAGCAAAAAAACATCTCTCCGTTAATGAGGTCTGAAGTAAAATTCTAAAACCTGCCAGAATTTAGGAAGCGCATATTTGCTCTAGAATGGTTTACTATTTGAGGAATTTGTTTGTTAATGTATAGCAGCTTCATAACAGTAAAGCTGATACTAATTCAGACTTAATATCTGAAGTAGGTTTAATAACTAATAAAAATGGACTGTTTATGTATTAAACCTGGAGCAGCATAGCTGATCCACCTCTGTATTTTGGGTAGCTAATGACTTTCTCCTTCAAATTTGGAGATGTATTTGTTTGTGAAATAGTTTTATGGCATGTGGAAATTTGAGAAAAGAATTCTGGCTGATATGAAGGAAGAAAAATGAAAAGTAACAATGCTGAAAAGGCTGTAGATATGATTCTACAGAGTGACAGTTTAATGAGCTCTAGGTTTCATATGTAGGAGTATCCCATGTTTTGTTTTAGCTACTTAGTTCTGGAGGGAGTGTGTTGGAGAAGATATTTTCTCCGGAAAGTGAGGAAGGGAGGCAATGCATCTACCTAGTCTCTAAAGGAAAATAAGTGTTTGAGCGAGCATTCAGTACAATATTTGAAAAAAAAAAAAATGTTTTTCAGATAATTGCCTTTGATGAACTTCGGACAGACTTCAAGAGCCCAATCGATCAGTGCAACCCAGCCCACGCAGTGAGTACAACCAGTGGTTTGCTAAACAGCACCTGCTCAGGAAAGGGGGATGCACTGAGCTGTCAGTGAAGTCTGAGTGAAATTAATATAGAGTCTCTTGTGAAGTCAAGTGTGGTTTGGCAAATTGATTTACTGGGCCAGTCTTGGGAAGCCAGATGGTTACTTTTTATGCTAATTGCCTTCCTTTTTGCTGAAGGAGGCAGGGAAATAATTTGGAAATTCAAAAGCTGATGTGATGCTAATGCTTTCTTTTTTACCTTTTCGTGCTGTGGCACAAGTTTTCCTTTTTGAAATAATTTGCCTTCTCTGTGTTCAAGCATGGGATGACCACATTTTCCCATACTGCCTGTATCAATGATCCAAAAGCTTGAGTGGATGTGGTAAGAGGCATGTTCATGGACCTCTCTCTCCAATGGTAGGGCTCTAAGTGCTCCCATGCTTTAAGAGTAAATATCATATTCTGCTGCTTCTGCTATGGAAAAGTTTAAATATCACCCTGGGACTGTAAACTCACTTTTAACTAATGAACCAGAAATGCAACCTAGATTTAAGTATTTCAAAATTCCTCTGCTAATTAAAGCTGTAATCTAGGGTGATTTAGCTGACTACAGCTAAACATGTGTCAGTCTGTACTACCAGGACTGAGAGCAGAACTTTGCTCCCCATCATCTCACTGGGAATTACAATGACTACGACAGGTGCTGTATTTGATCTCTACAGAGTATCAAGTTATTGAATTGCCTGCAAATGATAACCAGATTCAGTACTTTGCCATTTAACCCTGTTTCATAACTCAGCAGAGGATTTGTGGTACTGCTTAGACCACTGATGATTTTAAGCATAAACTTTACGTGAATCTTAGAATAAGAAGGCTTTTTTTACAGTTCACTAGCACATAATCAAAGCATGAAAATAGAAGAAAGAAATTATGTGAAGAAATCCTATAGAGGACTTCAGTGGATATAAACTGGTTTTGAATTTACTGGATGTAATCTGATTTTGAATTCACTTTATCTGTTTTTACTTTCCATCTTGGGAACTGCACACAAGAAATGTGTATTTATTTGTACCAGGTATTTCTTATACATTTGTTCAAGTGTATTTTCCTTTTTCCCTCTGCATAGTTGTTTGTGCCCATATCCCTTTTATTTAGTGGGGTAGTTTTCTTTATTGCACTATAAGAGTGTCTGATGTTTACCCATGATGTTTACCCAATGTTTTCATGACAGAGGGTAGAGCCTTTTTGACAAGAGGGGGCTGAATTAAAGAGAAATCAGAGACAAAAACAAGGGCAGTACTGAGAATTTAATTCAAATTTCCTGGATTGCCCTCTGTTACCTATAGTTCAGAGACAGACTTCCTACTTCTCCAAGGCCAGCTGCAGTTAGGAATCTATTTAAAGGGAATTGAGAGGTCTATCTTTCTCTCTCCACTTACCTCCTTCTAAAGGCAAGAGAGCTTTCTGCAGCTTCACAGGCATGCCCACACACATCCATTCTCATGTTTGCAACTGTGAGTCTAACATTTCTGAGTCTCTTTTAGCTCAGAGACACCAAAAAGAGGCACGGTATTTTTCTGGTGCCTATCAAGTTGCCACTGCCACATTGTCTTTCCAAAATGATACTTTTTTAAAAAATGGCTTAAACTTGGGGACAGAAATGCAAAAGAGGCATTTCTTTGGAGAATAGAAATAAAACTCAAACTTGTGGTAAATTTAAAACATTTGAAAAGCAGAAAGCTTAGGGAGAGCTGGCTTCTTACATTGGTATAGTACAAAAAAGTTAATTGTTTGGAATATTTTTCCCATGTCTAAGTGAAAATATTATCAGATAGTCTTCTGAGGACAAAAAAACCACTCTGCCTTCTGCAGTGTAACCAACAGTAGAGAGTTCCACAATAACTTCAATGATAGGGTTATGCAGTGAAATTTGATTGTACTGGTTAGTTTCTCATTATGAGCCATTTAAAAAAAACCCTGTCTTTGATTTGTTTTCTTTCTGTGAGTTGAGCTTAAAGCATCTTTTGAGTCACAGTGCTTAATTGCAGTGATTTTCAGTATTTATGAATGCATCTGTCGTTTAAAGTGGCATTTCTAGGACAGTTCAAATATTTTTCACTAATGGGTTACATACTAATATCACATGTTGAGGCACCATCTTGGTGATAGAGGAAGAGCTGCCATACAAATGTCATAGTTTTGTTTCCCCATTCAGAATTATCTTGAAGCCAGATGTGGAGTACCTTAAGATGCAAAACCAAGTCTTGCACAAAGGCTGACTTAAAAAACATTTGCAGCCTCTGGCTCGAGGCTAACAGACTGGAATCCCCAGTTGATACTGTTACACCCAGTAACAGATGAAAAAATAACTTACTGGGACTCTGAAATGGGTAAATCACTTAGCTTGCTAGCAGTAGGTAGGAAGTGAATGCTGTCATTTCAGATTAACAACATATATTGCTTCACTGCGGCCATTAATTAAAACATTCACCCTTGTAATTGTAATATATTGTCTTAATTTGTAACACCAGCTAATCTCCTGCCTTTTCCCCCCCTTTTTCTTGGCAGAGAGAGCGGCTGAGAAATATTGAGCGGATTTGCTTCCTCCTGCGAAAGGTGAGCATGAACTAACCTAGGATTTGTGGAGTTCGTGAGAATTAAGTCCACCCAGTGGTGACGTGCATTTATTTTCTCTTTGATCCTCACACTCAGTTGATGAAAGGCTGGATTCTACAGAGGAGTGAAAGTCATGATGACTTTGTAAGGACGGAGTAAGACAAATTATAAAAGGTTGACATAATAGAGGATGTCTGGATAAGAACTGAACTTCAGAACATCAGCCCATTCGTTCCAGAACAACCCTTTTGAAGGTGGTGAATAGTTTTACAGTTGCAGCTTGAGGTTCTTTTTTATAGTCCTATAAAGCTGCTGATACTGTTGTAGTACAGGCTCTAAAAATACCCTTTTTTTGAAAAGTGACTTACTGTTTGATAAACTAAACATTTTTATTAGTTACATGTTTAATGTTTAAGGTTTTAGTTGATAGAATAGAAAGGTTGATGTAGTATGTATTTTAACTCAGTCAGGTACTGAGTGCCTCATTTCTGAGAGATTTCAAGGAGCTGATAATTTGTGGATTACTTATCTGTGGCTTCAAAAAACATTTTAATAGACAATCTTTGTTCTCCTGACTCTGTCCTATTAAAGTAAAAATAATCATAGTTCTAAACTATTTTATTCTGTACGTTCAAGTTTCTGTACATTGTGTTCTGCAGAGTAGTAATAAAGCCACCTAAATTATTCTACATTTTCACTTAAAAAGGTCATCACTGAAGTGTGGACTGCTGCCTGCATCCTAATCAAGCTAAGAACTGAATTGGTTTTAAGGTACTTAGAGGTTTTAGGAAACGCAGTGCTCGGGATTGGGGTGATCCAAAGGCACAACTGTGACTCTAAGCAGAATCTATGAGCTGTTATTCTCTGATCAGTCAGAACCTGAGTCATATCTGTTTAGCACCATTATGAGTTTGTGACTGTTAGGAACCGCATTTAAATACTTACTGAGCCTGTTTATGGCCCTTGGGATATGAAAATAAGAGAAAATACTTATCACCAATAGCTTTCCATTTTATCAAACAGGCAACCAGCCAGTTTCAAGCTGTGTCCCAGTTTCTTGGACATAAAGCAACTGTTGAGTGGTAATGTATTAATATATGTGAGCCCCATGGGAATGCCTTGCCTGCATCAGTGTTTAATTTTTATTGAGCCTCAGCCTCGTTGTGAACAGCAAAATGGAGCATTTTGGCTAATTGCAGACTCTGTATTCATAAGGGATTGCCTTGCTTCTGGTTCACTTAAATAGTTTGTTAATTCAGCCTCTTCTTCGAAGTTCTTTGGGGACAGATTTGTTTTAATTGAGAGATTAGATGCAAGAAGGGGAAGGTGCAGTAACTACAGAGATTTATAGTCTTCAAATCTGACAATCACTAAAAATAGCTGTAGTTTATGTCGTATAAAGGAGTCATTGTTGAGGAAAACTCTGGAAAAACAATAAAGAATTGAGTGTCAGCTATATTGATACATGACAATAGCAGTTAGGATGCTTCCAGCAAGCACTAAATATATCCCTCAATATAACTTTGTGTGGCTTTAGGGTTTGTTTCTCTTTCTATGAAACAACAGCATACCTGTTTTCCTATGTTTTGAAGACAAGTAATTCTTTTAGAGGACTTTGACATTAGGACTTAATTCTTAAGTTCTGATGTAAATTTGTTCTTTAAAAGGTTATAGGTAGGCTATAAAAGTATATTCATATATTTCATATATTTCATTATATACTGGTTTTACAAGGGGTCCTTGGAAATTATTAAATGAGCATACAATATGTCATATAAATCTGATCCCAGTGGGCGAAGATTTTCTTAACGATGGATTTTCATTTTTATCTCCAAAATACTTGAAAAAGTTTATTGCCAAACTGTGACTAGGTATGTGATATTTCACCAGATATTATATAACTTATTTCCACTTTTCAAAATAGAATGGAAGATTTAATTGTTCTACAGCCAGGCATTTTCTGATGTTTAGTTTGGGGAAAATGTTTCTATATAATTAAAACAAGTAGTGATTGTGTGAAGCAGATATATATGATGCTGATGTGTGTACATGCATGCACACAGGGGTCCTTTTTTTTATGGTGCTATAGAATTAGATAAGCCTAAGTTTTCTGGTTACTGAAGAATGATTATGTATGAAGAAGCTATGAACTTTGTATAGCCATGATCAAATCTCTTCTATTTTGCAATAAATGAGAAGAAGGCTTATTTTCTGAAGCCAGCACAAAGTGAAGTTCTCTCAGGATACAGGTATCTCATTTTATTCAGTGGTGTGTGTTGGAGGCTTAATAGCATAGATCTGTGTTCCTGTGCTGTAAACTGTTGAATATTCCATTATGTGCATGTTTGTTGTTTTACAAGTGTTAGATGGTTCACACAGAACACACACTAGTATTAGCAGATGCTGTGCAGCCTCTGTGCTATTCTTTTTTTTCCTAAATTACCTTTGTTTCTCTAAGGATGTGATTACAATGCTGTACAGAGGTACACAAACTAGCTGTGATGAGCTGCATTGGGCTAATGCAGTGCATGTAACAGAGGCACAGGCTTCTTGGGCTCATCAGCCTTGCTGAAGACTGTGATAGGTTTGGTGTACCTATGAGGTCTACCATGATTTTTATGATTAAATATTTTGGTGGGGCTGTTAAAATATGTTCAGTTAATGATGACAGCAATATTATATAATTGTAATTGCAGTTGTATTTCAAGAAATCTGTCTACAAGATTGATTCCTGATGGAGATACTTATTTTAGCACTAAAGACAATTAGGAATTTCCTAGATTAAAGCACAGTATATTTCATCAATCAACCACTGCAATATTATTACTTTACCTCTGAGGAAATTTAAATTAAATTTTGATTAGGTTATGCATCATAATTTTTGAATTAATTTGATAAATCCTTACTAAGGAGGAGAGTTGATTGAACTTCTTGCTCAGCAAAGACATTTGAGATTTCAGTTTGCTCATGCCAAGCACTGCTGAACAGTATAAGTGACCCTTCTCCAATTATCGGCAAATATTTGTTTTTAAGCTTCATTAAGCTAAAGTAAGAGTGATTTTTGAGCATCAGAACTGGAACTAGAACTTAACTGGGAAGAAGCTGACATAAATAAAAGACAGGAAGAAGTTGACATAAATAAAAGACAGACTTTTACCTATTTTCCTACTGTAGTGGAGCATTAGAGTTAAGTTATGCCTAAAATTCCTAAAACCACAAGTGTAAGAAAATATTGTCCTAGAGCTCAATTATTTTTCTTGATTTTATTTGGGGATTTTGGCAGGGTTTTTTGTAAGTCCTGAAGGGATGATTGGAAGAGAGCAGATTCAGCAAGAAATGTAGCCACAGGCAAGGTGACATTAATCTCGAAGATGTTCCAGATGAACTTGAACTGTCTTGAAAAATACAAACAAATACACAGACAAAAAACCCTGCAGGGACAACGTTTGAATAACCAAACTTGGCCAGTGTAGCACTCAGGTAGTAGCAGTAGCGTAGTAGATAATGAATCAGGAGCTGGGTTGTTTGAAACGTAACAAAACAAGCCAAACCTAAACAACTCTTCACCTAATCTTTTTTGAAGCAAGTTTTAATGTTTTAGTTAGGAAGCTGGGGGGTGCCAGTGCTTGGTCTGGTCTAGTACCTCTGTCACTGTGGTTTCCAGTGGAGCTGGATCTGCAGTAGTAATGGTGGAAATTTATTTTTTACTCATCAGTTCTGGTGTTTACCAAGTTCAATTCTGTTTTTTACTCCTCTGAAAAAATAAAATTAATGTTTATTTTAAATTTATATTCCATTGTGTATACTCTAATACACGTGACAGTTACGTTTTACTGTATTTACAGGTTTTGGTGAATAAGCAAAACCAATGTTACCTGAAAGAGCAATTATAGAAGACATTCTATTCAGACTGAGATAATGTAAATAAAATGTAAAACCTAGTGAGCATTATATATAATCCCAGACACCTGAGTGTCTGTACAGTTTTGTTTTGGTATGTTTCAATATGAAAATATTCTGTAAAAGAAAAGTGAAAATTACTTATATGTGTGCAAGTAACAGTAATTCAGAGACACAAGTAATCAGAAGCTTGAAGGGTTATGAGTTAACACCACAGGTTCAGCTGTAGACAGAGCATTCTAAGGATGAAGATTAGGCTTGATCCTGTGTCTATATCATGCATGTTTGTCAGCATAGAATGCACTCACTCAAAGCTTGGAAAAACCCCACAGTATGTTCAGTGAAACACTACTGAGCTCATTGGATCAGCTAACAGGGAACAAGTTGGCTTTTAGGCTTTTCCTTAATAGCAGAAGAAAAGGGTGTTATCTGAGTATAGAGTCTCTTTTTCTTTACATGTAGCTAAATATTACATGAAATCAACATTGTTAGAAAGTAGCCCTATCTTTCCTTCTTTATTCTTAGCTGACATTTTTTCCCTGCCTATTTTGGATGGAGGAGACTGACCAATGTGCACTAGAGTAATTGCCATATGAAATAATTTTTTTACTTGGACCTTGATACATTCCAAACCTTCCCCAACCAGTAGCCCCTACCAATCTCTGCATGCAGCAGGTGCAGTGGACATACTCCTTTGTGGAGTGTCGGGTGTCACAGCAGCTGGTTTCAATTGACTGATCATCTTCTTTTCATCTTGATAAATTTGCTGGTTATTACGGTGATCACTCTCTTTGTTGTTCTGCCTCATAGTCACTGGCAAGCCTGAAATAACGTGATGGATTTTAAGTGTCTGGTTTTGAATGTGTCTGTTGATTGCTTCGTTATGCATTTAGGGATTTATAAACGTGTGACGTTCTTTTACCCAATCTGCAGGCTGGTAGTCATTAGCAGAGTACTTCTGTAAGCCTACAGCATGGTTCACTAAAACACTTAACGTGAGGTTATATAAGCAAATATAGCAAATGTGATGCATAATCACAAGGAATTTTTGAAGTGGTGTACATCCATCCATATTGTAAGAAGGAATCATGCTTTCTCCG